AACAGTGTCTCTGGACATCAGGGCAGGTCACAGTCTGTGCCTTGTAGGTCCCAGGCCTCCTTCCCAGGCCCTGGCTGTGCTGCAGAGACGCTGCGGGTTGGACACGTGCTCTGGCGGTGGCCACACGCTCTCAAGCTCTAGGTGGCAGGACCCTTCTTCCCAGCGTCGCCCCCGCCCGGTCGGGGTTATGATCCCCCTCCAAGGCCTCTTGGCTGAGGTGTCTCCCTGCGCTGGGCCCACTGCCCAGGGTCCCCCTCGCTCTCCCCAGCTGCTCACTGCACCCAGCCCCGGACTGCTCCAGCCCCAGCTCCACTCTGCCTCAGCACGGCTGCTGCTGCTGCTCTGCCTCCAGCTCCCTGGGCTGCTTGTCTGGCCCCCCTGGCTCTGGTTGCTGCAGCTCTGCCCCCAGGACAGCTCTGCTCTCTCTGGCCTGTGCTCTGGCTCTGGTGGCTGCAGCTCTGCTCCCAGCAACTTAGCTTGGGCCCCTGCTCTCTCCTTAGCTCAGCCCCACTCTGTCTGACCCAGGCCATTCCAGCTCACAGAGAGGACGGGACCCCCTCGGCCTCCTGACTCCCTAGTTAGCCTGCCCGCACTGTCAATCAGGCTGACCTGGAGCATTGGCCTCTCCCCATTGTTCCTGGGGACTGTCAGTCTCAGGCTCCTGATTTCCCATCGACCCTTCCCCTTTTAGTGCTGGGAGCAGCCAACCAAAACACCCCCACTGAATGTTAGTAAGGGGGCAAGAGTCCCCTTACATAAAGCATTAAACTAGGGGTCGCACCCTTCGGTGCTGCTGGCATTTGAGCTCATTGCACCAGCACCAGTGCCTTCTGTGCCCCTTCCCAGCTCCCCCACATGCCAGGGGCTCTGTGTGCCCCCATTCCCCATCCCCCTCCATGCCAGGGGCGCTGTGGGCTCCCCATCCTCCCTTCGCCCAAGCCAGGGGCTCTGTATGCCCCCCACTCCCCTCCCCCCAAGCCAGGGCTCTGAGTGCCCCCCACTCCCCTCCCCCCAAGCCAGGGGCTCTGAGTGCCCCCCATTTCTCCCCCCCCCGCCATACCAAGGGCTCTGATTTGGGATTTAGCCAGGTTTGGGATTTAGCCGGAGCCAGCAGAGGTGGCAACATCACCCAGGTCCCTCCGTCTGGCCTGATCCCAGCTCAGCTCCTAGGCCCAGGACACTGAAAGCCCAATGACGTCATGGTAGAGCCCAGGAGATGGTGCCAATGGCTCCCATCTGTCCACCTGGCTCCCTTCATCCCCTCCCCCAAGTGCTCCCCAAAAGGGGGCGGGGGCCGGAATAGCCCCTCCCCTCCTGCTTTTGTCCACCAATCAGGATCGTTTCCGACCCACCAATTTTGGTCCATTCGTTCCCATTCTCCTTGGGGATGTTGGATCTCTGAGCCAGGCAGCGCTGCCAGGGCCACGAGGAGGAGACTACGGACGGCTCACTCAGCCATAGCCACCCGTACCGAAGCTAGGCAAAAAATGAAGGATCTGGATACGTGCCGAGATTCAGTGGGTGAAAAGGTTAATATCTGGCAGAGCAATTTACGGCTAAACCTTGCCACGGCTGCAAGCTGTTGGAGGAGCAATGGGGGTGTCTGCTGGCCCCAGCACCTGGCCCACTTGGGATCTTCTAGGGATGCCCACCAGTAAGATAATGTTTGATCCCCACAGTTGGTTTTTGGGGGTGCTTGTCAGGTGACAGAGCCTGTGGAGCTTGCCTGAGCTCCGAGCTCCCTGCTTCTAACTGGGCTTCTGTCTCCACAAGGGAAGGATCATGGCACAGCTGGGTTCATAAATCCTTATGGGACCTTGCTGGGCCTACGGGGAGAAGACAGGGCCCTACAGGGCGACAGCCAGGTGGAAATGCAGGGAAGGGGCCTTTTCACTGCCGATCCCAGTTTTTCCTTGTATCTAACCTAAATCTCCCTGGCTGCAGATGAAGCCCATTACTTCTGGGCATATCGTCGGTGGACACGGAGACCAACTGATCCTCGCCCTCTTCATAACAGCCCTGAACAACTGTGAAGACTGTTCACAGGTCCTCCCCTGCCCTTCTTTTCTCAAGGCTAAACAGGGCCAGATTTTTTTTAAATCTTTCCTCCTAGATCAAGTTTTCTAAATCCTTTGTTCATTTTTGTTGCTCTCCTCTGGATTCGCTCCCATTTGCCCCCATTTTTCCTACCGTGCAGCACACGGAACTGGACACAGTCCTCCAGCTGAGGCCTCCCCAGTGCCGACTAGAGTGAGACAGTCGCCTCCCGTGTCTTACATCCAAGACTCCTGTTAATACACCCCAGTGATATTAGCCTTGTTCCCAAGTGCATCACACTCGACTCTCATTCAATTTGTGATCCACTATCGCCCCCAGATCCTTCTATACCAGGGGTTCTCAAACTGGGGGTGGGGACCCCTCAGCGGGTCGTGAGGTTATTACATGGGGGGGGTCGCGAGTTGTCAGCCTCCATCCCAAATCCCGGTTTGCCTCCAGCATTTATAATGGTGTTAAATTTTAAAAAGTTTGTATATATTTATAAGGGGAGTCGCACACAAAGGCTTGCTGTGTGAAAGGGGTCACCAGTCCAAAAGTTTGAGAACCGCTGTTCTCTACGCTCAATCCTCCTCCATCTGAATGATGGGAGCGATAAGAAAAAGTGGGGTTTTTTTCAGTTGGCTGGCTGGGCCGAAAACTCGGGGGG